ACCATATTGAAAGTGTTCTGGTAAATGGTAGTCAGAACTAGACCTTAGACCTTCGTGGTCAGAGTACAGTGGGGAACCCACTGTATAAATGGACTGCTCCGTAAAATTTACTGTGTGATTTCAATACCTATGTTACAGCTAGTGTCCTTTTTTGTATTGTTACTAAATTTTCATTTCTTGGATTGAGAATAATATAAACAAACCCTGTCTTATGTGCATATATGCCTAAGAAAAAGTTGAAAATGAGGTTTAAAACAAAATATGGTTCTGTGCTAAGTGGAAATATGAGCTGCTAACATGTAATTACTTCAGAAACCACATTGCTGCTTTGCTTTTCTGGTTTGTTCATCTTGCAAAAGGACATGAGAGATGTAGAAAAACGACCTGGGGCAATGTTCTTGATGCTGATATATTTTTTCTTTTGTGAGCTTAATCATTTTAGTACCCTTAGGAATCCAGGATATGTAACAATAAACTTTGCTTTGTCAGTTGTATTCTCAGCAGCCACATTCATGGGAACTTTAGAAATTATTAAAATATTTGTCTGTACTTTGGCCTAAGAGTCCATTGAAAAAAGTAGACTGTCAGGATATGTGTATGTTCATTCCATTAGCAAATAATTATGATTTTAGAAGTCAACAATGCTGAACGACCATTCCTGAACTAATGACTAACTCTCCATAAGGAAGATTACTATTTTTGATATCCTAAGAGGATACATGCTTTAGAAGGCCCCAGTTTAACCGAATTTTATGAAGGACTCAGGTTTTCTTCTTTGCCATTCTACCTTCCATTGGGATCTGACTTAAACTAGTAATGTGTACTGGGACTTATTTGAGGGGCTGGGTTATATAAAATATTGAAGTAAGATCATTTGTTATTCTAAGATTCATTTGTTGTGCTAGATCTCCAACTTGCTGCTGAGCTTGGAAAGACATTACTGGATCGGAACACAGAATTGGAGGAATCTCTTCAGCAGATGTATACAACCAATCAGGAGCAGTTACAGGAAATTGAGGTAATCTACTCATCAGGAGAGTTAGACTTTGAGACGTGACATGTTGTCGTTGTTCCACTAGTCATATACTGCTAAAGTAACACTTACAGTTAGAAACAGCATTTAATTTCTAACAGACTTTGAGAACAAGAACCATCAGTGAAATGGGGAGGTTGATTTCTGCTTTCCCAGCATGTAAGTCTACTATGATGAGATTGCTTTCTTCACCCTGGTGGAGTATAGTAGAAGTAAATGGTCCAGTATTTGCCATTATGTGAAGCATAATGTTCTGGGGTTTTGTTTGTTTGTTTGTTTTTACCTCCTGACCTAAAGCAATACTCCCACCTTGGCCTCCCAAAGTGTTAGGGTTACAGGTGTCAGCCATCACACCTGGCCATAAGTCTTTTTCTTTTAAAAAATATGTAGTATTTAAGATATCCAGAAAAGTATAAAAGAATAATACACTGAACACCTGAGTATCCACTACCCAGCTTAAGATAGAAAACCACCCACATGTTGAAATTTCTTCTCTTTGTCTTCCTTGATGGTTTCTCTTTCCCTCCCATTACCAAAGACCATCCTAAACTTGGGTTTAGATAAAAAGTTAAAATAATAATACCTGATTTCATAATGTATTTAAACTTTTTTGCACTAAAGAATTGATTATAATATACATGTTTATGGGTGGCACCTGTGGCTCAAAGGGGGTGGGGAGCTGGCCCCATATGCTGGAGGTGGCGGATTCAAACTCAGCTCCGGCCAAAAACTGCAAAAATAAAAATAAAATAAAATAAAATACATGTTTATTTCTTCCTCTACAAACTTGATTTATTTACATTTTTGGTGTATATTTTTCCTTAAAATATTACTTTTTGCCTAGTTTAACAAACTGAAATGAAAAATGCCAGATGAAGACTTTAAAATGGAAAGTACTGCTCTTTTATTCATAGTCCCACTCAAATAGTCCAGTTATGTGTAGATGACTTAACTATAATAATTGTGGATATTAGCCAGTTGTCCATCCCTTCAGAACACCTATCTCCATGCCCAATTCCCCTCCTACAAAAAAGTTTTGCACTTTAAATTAGAAATTCTGACTGGGTGTGGTTGCTCATGCCTATAATCCTAGCACTGTGGGAGGCCAAAGTGGGTGGATTGCTTGAGCTCAGGGGTTCTAAACCAGCCTGAGCAAGAGAAAGACCAAGACCCCTCTCTAAAAAAAAAAAAAAATAGCTGGGCATTCTGGTGGGCAGCTGTAGTCCCAGCTACTTGGGAGGCTGAGGCAAGATGATCACTTGAGCCTAAAAGTTTAAGGTTGCTGTGAGCTGTGACACTAGGGCACTCTACCTGGGCAAAAAAGTGAGACTCTATCTCAAAAAAAAATTAGAAATCCTTGCCCCTTAAATTGGTATAGTAGACTAAAGACTCTTGTCTATGCATAAAAAAATGTAAAAAGACCCTAGACCGGTGAAGCAGTTTATCATAATCAGTACTTCCTAAGCTCTGATTATTTACTGAAACAGGTGCTGGGAATTCAAACAAGTAGAATTAAATAGTCCTTGCCTTAGAACCAATTATGATTACACAAATTGCAACTTTTAAGAGCTGGGCATAATGGCATATGCCTGTAATCCCAGCTACTTAGGAGGATAAGATGGAAGGATTGCTTGAATCAAGGAGTTTAAGACCAAGCTGGGGCAGCGCCTATAACTCAGTGACTAGGATATCAGCCACATACACTAGGGCTGGCAGGTTCAAACCCAGCCCTGGCCTGCTAAAAACAACAATGACAACTGCAACAGCAACAACAACAAAGAAATAGCCAGGTGTTGTGGCCGGTGCCTGTAGTCTCAGCTATGTGGGAGGCTGAGGCAAGAGAATTGCTTAAGCCCACAAGTCTGAGGTTGCTGTGAGCTGTGACACCATAGCACTCTACCCAGGGCGACAGCTTGAGAGTCTGTCTCAAAAAAAAAAAAAGAAAAGAAAAGATCTACCTGGGTACTCAAGGGAGACCTTATCTCTTTTTTTATTTAATTAATTTATTTATGTTTTTGAAGAAACAAAAACAGTGCCAGCTTTTTTTTGTTGTTGCAGTTGTCAATCACTTGTAAAAGTTTTTTTTTTTTTTTTGAGACAGAGCCTCAAGCTATCCCCCTGGGTAGAGTGCTATGGAATCATAGTTCACAGCAACCTCCAATTCCTGGGCTCAAGCAAGTCTCCTGCCTCAGCCTCCCAAGTTGTTGGGACCACAAGTGCCCACCACAACACCCAGCTATTTTTTGGTTGCAACCGTCATTGTTTTGGTGGGCCCGGGCTGGATTCGAACCTGCCATCTTAGGTGTATGTGGCTGGTGCCTTAGCCACTTGAGCCACGGGCGCCAAGACACTTGTAAAAGTTTTAAACTAACTCTTTACAGCACTTATTGGAGAGTTTTCCTGACTAGGAAAGTAATACATAATCATTTTTTTAATTTAGAAAAATAAATAGTTGAAAATCAAAAAATCAACTCTTACTACCCAGAGAAATTTAACTCTGACTTATTATAAAAATAGACAACTGGGACACTACCAAAGGGTATTTTGCAAGTAGAACCACAGGTGTTCTTTCAAAGAATGTTAGTAGGTTTCAAATACACCCAATAAATATTGATCAATAGTTTTGGTAGGCATTGTTTTTAAGGTTAAAAGAAAATTAAATAAGCTATTGACAGTAATGCTTCTATTGGCTTCAGAGAAGCCTGTAGCCTTACTTCTTGTGCTAATTTGAAAGAGTCATTCTGGAGTAAGTTTTTCCTCTCCTTGATGGGGGAAAGGAGAAGGGGAGAAAAGGTGTGGAGAGTAATGAGATCTGACACCATCAGACACAATTGGATTCACTTACACTTTCCTACAATCATGTAATCAGCCTGCAGCCTTGTGTGTTTGTTACGCCTGTGCTTAGACGCTTGCATTATCCCCAAAGGAGTTGTGCCGACTGCTCAAGGCATCCTTTCTTTCGAGATTCCGTGCCCTCTTTGAAAGTTTTAAAACATTTTTGCTGCTCTTACTACATTTCTCAGTACTCTATGATGTATTATACTTATTTCTTGATTTGTTTTATTCTACTTTCTTCTCGTTTCCTATTGCAACTTAAAGATTATTCCTGTGTTTAGGGTCTTCTGCATATAGTAGGTAATTGGTAAATACTTGTTAAAATCAGTTTCTAACAGAGGATAAGCACTTTACAGAGCTCTTCCAGGAATTTCTAAACTGTGTGTTTCCATCTCTGGAGATTTTTTTTTTTTTTTTTTTTTTTGGCTAGGGCTGGGTTTGAACCCACCACCTCCGGCATATGGGGCTGGCGCCCTACCCTTTTGAGTCATAGGCACTGCTCCATCTCTGGAAATTTTTAAAGAAGGTAAAAAGCACTCTGACCTCTGTGTTAGGAGATTCAAGTTTAAGCTCTCAATTTTATTTGCAAGTAGCTAGAGAATTTAGGCGTGTAAATTACCCCTCAAATCCGTTTGCTCCTTTAGAGAATGGTCATGAGTGCTTGTACTACTTTGGTACAGGGCTGTTCTGAAGGGATGAGATTATGGATGTATACCCATGTCTTTAAAATTTTAATAATGAAAGAATTTTTAAAATTTTATGTATACATATCCATTGTATGTATTTATATGCATAAAAGTGCATGTGAAATTTTGATGCATGCATACAATGTATAATCAAATCTGGGTAATTGGGATATCTATCACTCTCAAACATTTACTATTTCTCTGTGCTGGAAACATTCCTAATCTTCTCTCCTAGCTATTTTGAAATATACAATAAATTATTGTTAACTATAGTCATGAAAAAATCTTAATTCTGGAAGAAAATCCTCTTGGATTACTGGAAAGTAGATCTTAGAAACAATCTAAGCATTTAACAGTGGGATTATAGGTCTTTTTTTTTTTTTTTCATGCTCATGCTTTTTTCCCCCCCTCTGAATTTCCTGCAGCGGAAATATATTACTTTAATCAGGAGAAAGAAAAGGTAATAGGAAATATTTATTCACTATTGTGAAAGTTCATTTTGATACTAAATTCAGAGGATTTTGGCTATAATCCTTAATTTGAGGATAATCCCAATGCTGCTTAACAGCCAAATTTCCATTTCATTTCTTATGTGTTTTTAGATTGGGTTGTCTGTCTTTTCCTGCATTCCAGGTTAGGGTTCTGCAATTGGAAATAGGTATTAACATGATCTGCTGGCCTTGGTTTACTTTAGTTTCTGGGTGGCCTGTTTATAATTTTTGTGTATAACCTGAACCTTGTACTCATAGTTGAGGTGACAGTCTATATATATATTCCTAGACATTTCAACTTAGAAACTTTTGCTATAAATTGACGTTTTTATCCACATTTCTGTCACCCTGTGTTTCCCTTCTCCCATCATTTTGCTTAAAATATCTCTTTCCCCTGTTAAATATAGCAGATTTATTTGAGGCTGTGTATCAAAGAGAAAACCAGAACGTCAGAATCATATCTATACCTAGAGATATGAATGGTAGGAAATTAGCCAACCAATTTCCTTCTAAATTCAGGGAAAAAAAATGATAAACACTAGAAGTTTTAGAGACAAAGCCTTTATGCACCATATCTGACTACATAGAGATATGTCGTGTCTTGCCTTTCGTTAGCACTTGCTTAGAGATTTAATAATTTTTAAGTTCCTGATGAATTTAATCAGACTTCTTCATAGGAATCCTGTAACCAATTCTTAGAGAAGTGAATGGCTTTTCTGATTAGTTTTGATTTAATATAATAAGATTAAACTCCTACCATTTGAAAATAGGCTCTCTGCCATTGTTTAGATCATCCTTAAAGCCAGGTCCTCTAAGGCCAAATATCACAAGTTCTTAAATGGTTTCACTGTGTTTTCTATCATAGGTTTTTATATATTAAACAAGAGGGCTCAGCACCTGTGGCTCAAGCGGCTAAGGCGCCAGCCACATACACCTGAGCTGGCAGGTTCGAATCCAGCCTGGGCCACCAAAC